TCTTCGAGTTGGCTCGTTCTTTTCCCCCGTGCTTCAGCCAACTCAATCAACTTCGGCCTCAAAGCGCACCACTTCCGCTAGTTGAGAATCAAAGCGACTTTGCATTAAGAAAGTTAAAAGTCCTGCCGGCAGCTCAATTGATCCGCAATCCCTGGCATCCATAAGCTTGCAGAGTTCACCAGCCTTCTGTCTGGATGGAAGGTCTGCAGGATTAGACGGAGATGGAACCCTCTCCATCCAAGCGGCAAAAGGAGTCTCAGTGTCAATTATGGAAATCGCACACAAAAGAAAAAACATGGCTGTCGATGGACTGCTGCGTTTGATGAGGCCAAGTCTGCACGCCTCATTATCGATGAAACAGATCCCACAGCGGGACGCCCAACTTTTCCTGCAGGCCCACCTGACACAGAGATAAGCATACATTTCCACTTCACAAATTATTTGATCCCCAACAGTCTTCAACCAAAATTCAAGCAATGGGGTCGGTACCCAACCATTGTACACTTCTCGAACCCCAGTCGCCGGATCCAATACCAGCGCCCCCCAAGCTCCTTCCCGCGCTTCAAATGCACCATCGGTGTATACCACAATGGAAGGCAAGTCACGGTCCATGGCAATCAATCTTGGCTTCGAGGCATCAATCAAAAATTCTATCATGTCACACATTTCATGGGTGGCCGCAGTGGAAAGGTTCGCACCCATCGACCACTTCGACAGGGCATGAGTTGCTGGCTTCAACGCGTGTCCCAGCACAAACCCACCACAAAAGTTGAGAATGCCTGCTAATGAAGCTGCAACTGAACGCGCACCGCTCTCAAGTTTCCGAAGTTCAGTCGTCAGTGCTTTGACCCGTTCGCGTCTGCCAGGTTTGTTTTGTACGGTCAGCTTACCTTCCCACAACTCTCCAAGATTGTACTGTATTCCCAATGCCTGCATCTCGACAGAAAAGTCAGTGGCCTTTTTGCCTTGCACTGCATGTTTCCACCCAAGTATATTGAAGAAAGTATCCAGCACCCTGGCCGTTAGGGCCGTCAAGGGCTCGACCTCAAAGCAAGGAAAATCGTCGTAAAATACACTTGTAAGTATATGAAGACCGTGCACCAGCAAATGCCAAATTGCTCTGGAAACCTTGTTGAATGCAAAAACTGAAGCACTAGCCCCAAAAGGAAGCGATTGTGTTGTGTAAAGACGCCAGTCTCCGGCCTCCGCTTGGTAGCCAAGCACTCCGTGCTTCAAAGATTCGGTAGCCACAGCAACTTGCTTGTAGGCCTTTGAAAGGTCCACGCAGCGTCCCAAGAGCTTCGGCTTCGGCCCCAGAGACGCATGCCATTGCCCTCTCAAGACAGTACCGTCGGACATAGGTACCAGTACTTCAAAGCCATTGCCCACAACCCACATGAAAAATCGCAGGAATCCAATCACAAAGTCAGTGTCGTGAAGAGCAAGGTAGGAGGAGGAAGAGAAGGCACCATTCACTCCGCTGTCCCTGTAGTTGTCAATAATTCGGATCTTACGCTCTTCACCTTGATACAAAGCAAATCTTTTTGACAGACTCCATTGCTCGGAGCCCACCAGGTCTGCAATTTCTTCCTGGGCAAAAGGCCCAGACAAAAAGCCAGCCTCCACTTCTGCACGGCTCTCCGTTTCCAAATCGGCTGCTTGCGTGCGTTCATCATCTCACATACCTTTGCTCAACATTGCTTTTCTGCGCCATACCGCTTGATGGTCCAGTTGTTGGGGAGTCAGCATGGCCGGCTTATACTTTTTGGAGTAAAGTGGGGACTCCGGTTCAGCACCTGTCAGCGGGACGCCCTGTTCCATGATATCGCAAACCTCCATATCTGGGAATTGTGTTTCCTCCAGGAGCTTTCTAAGCAAGCACAAAGGTTTACCTTGCGTCACCCGGTCCACATGTGTCGGCATAGTCTTGCGGAGTTCAATCTCTCTACCGGCCAGTGCTTTCTTCGTGTTCAGCATGTGTGTCAAGTAGTCAGTGCGTTTCTGCGCCAAAGCGTGCAACCCTTCAGTGCACAAAAGAAAAATATTGTATCGCAGCCCATCTGGCACCAGTGAAAATTGGGACGCAGGGTGTTGCAATCGCATGGCAAGCTTGACATGTTCTTCAGGAGAAAAGTAAAAACCAATCTTGTAAAGGCTTTCATTCATTTTTGTTTCCTCATCAATCTCGACACCTTTGTCATCTGCACCTTTGTCAGTGTCCCCCGTACGCCAAGGTGTTTGCAAAACCTTGCAAGGAGGAGCAGTAGGAGCCTCCTGAAGCCACTCAATGGCAGCGTATTCTGGGATGAGAGAAGGTTGCAAACGGTGCTGGGTTCCAGCTTGTTGGAGGATATGCAACCGAAATTGTTTCCACGTATTTTGCAAAAAGTTGTGTGGCAATTGTTGTACTACACAACTCACCATGCGCTGCACCAATACTTTGGGGTATACAGCTTCGTCTGCAGTATCAAATTTCCAAGTGCCATGAGTTTTGCGGACGCCCCAACTGGCATGGGAGTGAGAATTGTCGCATCTGATTCCCAAGAGATCAAAAACCTTGGGTGAAGCTTTGAGTTTGGTGGCCTTTGGAAAAACACCACCGTGCATGCAAGCGTCAAACGTGATGTCCGACAAAGAAAAATACCATTGCTGATATGCTAAATCGTCGCGCTGTTTGACCAATGCTGCCAACAATGCCCAAAGCCATGATCGCTCAGGGTTTTCGACTGAAAGAAAAATATTCAGCAAAAAGCATGAATAAAGCAAAATTTCAGCCGTCATGTAAACCTGATTTGCAGCATGAACCCGCTTCGACTCAGATTCAGACAAATTTGGAAGCCCAAACAAATGATCAGGGCCTCGAAGTGGGCGCGGGTTTGGCGCCCCTGCTGCACGGAGAGCCTGACTGACAGGCCGTTCCCTTGCTCTAGAGCATGTGCCACAGGGAAGCCCCATATGGCACCATGTAGGCCGCACGGTTTCAAAAAGGTGTGGCAAAAGTTGCCTGGAGTCAGGATGTGCTAAGTCTATGACCAAAATGGCTGCTGCAGCACGAAACCTGTTGTGTGAATGATCTATTGGAAAAATTTGAAACCCTTTCTTTTGAGCTTCTGCTGACAAAACCGCGCTTCCAGCGCAAATTTCCACCATCACTGCAACGCTAGGACCTGAAGGTGCATACGGAAGTTGCGAAGGTCAGTGGCTGCACTCGATATAGGGTCTCTTTTGGTTGCACCCCTTATAATAGCACATATGCAAGCCCATGTTGCATGACGAGCTCTTCTGGCGCCTACATGTGCCATTGTTAAAGTGCAAACAAATGAACTTGCCAGCTTCGGTCTTGGAGACACAATTAGGTGGCAGTGAATTCAGTAGGTCCTTTACTGTCTTGCCACCCGGCTCTGTTGTTCGTCTTTGCTTGGTCTTTGGGAAAGGCTTAGGTCCTGTTGCATCAGCTATGGGCCTCTTTGGCCCTGGGGTGTTCTGCTTCGGTTCTGCAGGCTGAGGTTTGGAAGGCTGGGCATGCGCTTGTCCTGGTAAAGGAGTCATGAAGCACAAGACTTGTGGCGATTCACGCAACTTGCCAATCAGCTTATCCAAGGGAGGCTCAGCACCAGCCGAAACTTTCAAATTGCCACGGCTGTCTTGAGACATCAGGGACCACAGCTCCCGATCCGCATTGAGCACCTGTTGCATCGTCACGTACTTGTGTCCACTTGGTGGTAGCCTCATAGTTGCATTCATCATCTGGTTGTGCCACTCCTCTAGGCGGTTGAAAGAACATAGTCCAGCCTGGTCGCACGCCAGTGCCTTTCGTGTGAGGGCCTGTCTAAGTTTCAGTTCTCCTGAGGTGTCGCAAGACAGGTCAGCAGCTCGTTTGGTGACCTTCAGGTTGCCTTGGGAATCAAAACTGACCTGCTGCTCGGTCTTTTGGTTTTGTATTTCGTCATGCCGCGACAAACATTTCTCAGGAGGAAGGTATTGCAGGACACCATCTTCGATCATGGCATGAGCCTTGTCTGTCAAGGCATGGGCCGGTTCCAAAAATTGGTCAAACACCAAACCCGGGTAGTCCTTTTTCTGCTTCTCAATGCGGACCATCCTTTCAGCCAAAGGTAAAGCCTTTGGAGTGTCCAGTGGGGTCTTCTTGACTCGCTCTTCCAGTTCAGTCATGGCAATCGTGTAAGATTCAAACCAAAGCTGTCGAAAGGAGATCATGTCGACTGAATTCACTTCACTTTCCAAAAGATCTTCGATGGCCTTCTTGAGCTTCGTGTCATCTCCAGAAGAAGGATTTACCGCACAAACATATGCCAACTTGCTGAAGCTGTTAAGGCCAGCTGCAATCAAAGCCTCAATTGTGTCATCAGCTATCCCAATCTCCAGAGCTCTAGCTTTGAAGCTAGCTTTGGATTCCATTGGTCACCGCGTGCGCACCGGTCAAGGTGAAATATAACGCAAAATGCAGTTCATGGAAACAGTACTGATGACTTCACAGGAACAGGTTAAAGCCTGAAACTATCCCTGAAATATGTCGAGTGCTAAACCTATTCACCAGTCAAGTCAAAACTTGCTGCAGAAAAATCACCAACCCAGATGAGAGTTGCAATGCATGATTGCCACAGTCTTGATTCAAGCGTCTCACCTTGGATAAATTCCTCCAAGCCATAAAAAGGGGCTGACGCGTCCATTCATTCCCATGGACTTCCCAACGCTTTATTGGAATTCAAAATCACGGCAACCAAAACACCAATCATTCATCAGTGTAATCAAATGGCCACCTGCACCTTCACCACCTTCGTGAGATATGTACAAAATCGGAAAATCAGACAGATCCAGCAAGGTTCAAAACGCTCACGTCACATGATCACGACGCAACACGGAAGCTCATGAAAAAATCGTTTCAAAATTACCAAAATTGAGAATACATGTCGCATGCAAACATGGTCCTATTCAATTTCACACGAGCCCTGTTTTTCTTTTCTGACAGAAAGGTTTATTCATAAACCGCTCACAGCTCTGCATTGTTCGCAGAACTCCATCTGGCCAGGGTCGCCAAAAGAATCTTCCATTGGAATCATATTGCAAGTGATCCTCCTGCCACAAGCCAGTTTCTCAACATCTGAAATCATGTGAACGATCCCTGACAGTCGGTGCTTGACACAGCACGCAGGGGCGATCGGAGGAAATGGGTTGCGGTCATGTGCAACTCTATCACCAGGCAAAGCAATGGGCGTTTCACCAACTGCTGCTGCATCATCCACATCCGAACCAGCCATGTCAGCTGCAAAATGCAGCTCTTCTGCAGCCAGGCGATTTTCGGTCTCGACTTCGATGTGAGATTTCTCAGCAATCGTCCGGGAGTCAAATGAGGCTCCAGTTGCCTGCGCAATACGTTCGGCTCTTGGCAAGTCAGGGTCGAACAAACCCTTTTTGATCGCTTCCACCACCAAGCGCAGTTTGATGATCGCAGCTACGAGGGCGTCCCTGGCGTAAGTGACTGCCATCTTGCCTTCTTCAGTCTCATGATGCCCCAACCATAATCTTTCTTGGAGGGTCATATTGCCAGCTTTTGACACCCACGAAAGACATGTTGACTTCAATGAATGGGAGCTGTAAGCATTGGCGCTAACAGCATCCATTCCCAGCATCACCAAGACATCTTTGACCCAGTAGCTGCCTTCGGCAGTAGTCATTCGGCGGTCCAACCAAACGTCTGCAAACTGAGAGTCAGCACTCATCAAGTGGCCCATGGTGTCAGCACCAGAAGCCTTCCGCGCTGCTCTCCAAGCCATGGCCCAACTGTTTTCGTCCAAGCCACACCCCAATGCAATCAGCGGCAACAAAATAGCCCGCCTCTCACCAGTGGCTGTCTTGTAACTGCTGAGCCCCAAAGCTCCTTGATCTCCAGCGTCCACACCAAATGTGAACCTGAAAAATGACCAGGCCTGCAACAATGTGGCACCTGAAGTAGCTCCTGCTCCAGTCTCTTTCATGTGACAGAGATACCTGTAAAAGTCAGACTCACTAGGCTGCAATGGTCGTTTGTGGCAATCCGAAACCAAAAACTGAGCAAATTTGTTGTAATCAGAAATGCGCTTCACGACTGTGCCCACTGCCTTGCTTGACACACTGTCTCGCAGCGATCTCTGTAAATCATCTTCAGCAATCAAAGATCCAGCTTTGTCCAACAGCGCACGTCCTAACTGAGAGTCAGCTGGATGATACAGAAGAATGTTGCGCAGCTTCCTCAAGGCCCTGCCAGTAGAGCATCATCTGTCTGGGCAAACCTCGCAGCTAAAAGCCTCTTGCTGGCAAAAGGCCTGTCACTTGCCCATTGGTTGAGCTGGTCCTCCACCATCTGAGCCACAGGGTGGAAAGCAGGTTTGTCAAACCTCCCCAGCAAAGGCAGTTTGAAGAGATCCACAGGCTTCGCATGGTTCCAAAACTGTTTGTGTGGCACTTCATCCCAAGGCATCTTAAATGACTCCTTGCGTTGTAATCTCAAAACTGCATCGCCAATCTGAGACTCCAATCTGTTGCAAGCGTCAAATTTCATGTTGCACTCATCTGCAATTGTGTCAACTGCAGCAGAAAAAGCAAGCTGGGCTCCATGCGGTGTAGCTACACTGATACTTGTCAAACCAGCGCCACCTGCAGAATCAGACTTCCTGCGTTTGGAATGTTCCTGCATGGCACCGGGCTCACCCAAGAATCTAGGAATGCCTGCAAAATTGTTGTCACCGTCTTGCAGTTGAAAGCTACTTGAATCACCTGTTAACTCATTGTTCACTTCATTCAATGGTAATAGGTCCCAACCAGCTTCCGTTCTTTCCCCTGCATCTTGAAGCGGAGAGGAAGGAGACGCACCATCACTTAGGCTAGCAGGAGCCATAGAATCCATACTGCACCACAAAGAAAACCACTGCTAAAAATCAAGCAGCAAAAATGTGAATACCAACCTGTTGAAGATGAAATCACAAGAGGCTTGATAGCAATGTGTCCACGTGAAGTGACACTGAGTCTACGGCGCATGCTCCAGTGCAATTGGACTGGACTGGGAACTGCCTGAATCAGTAGAGTCACCTGGATCCGATCTGGGTCCAAACTGCACTGCAACCCTTGGAGTGGTAACTTGCCTGGCACCAATGCAGCGAAGAAATGAAACCACGCTAGTACAGCACCACTGATACCACTGTGAAGTGTCCAAAAATTCCAGGATACAAGTTCTGATTGCAGCACAATAAAATCGAAAGACAGAGAGTTCCAGGCCAGTCTGCAACGGCAAGCGACGGGTCAAGGTCAGCGCAGGATATCCCCTATGGAAAAAGGTCTGGGAAAACATGCACTGAACGAAAATCACCTTTGGATCAGCTGAGTTTCTTGAGCCAAAATGGCTACGGAAATCACCTTTGGATCAGCTGAGTTTCTTGCAGCCAAAATGTTACCGCATTCCAAAGAGTCCAAAACAAACGTTCAACCCAAAGATCGCTTAAACGTATTTGTTTGAAAGAGTTGTCTTTCCAAACAATTGACATCATCAAATCAAAGAGTGAAATATGCACCGTAAGTCTCCCATTAAAAGTTTCAAAATTTTAAAACTTGTTTCAAGCCAAGTTTTGTCAAGAAACTTCACAGGCGTATATTCCAACACTCAAACGCGGCCCAGGCATCTGACATCAATTCTGACAAAGATCACCCAACCACACAAACAGACATCAGTGCCAAGCCTCAGCCACGCATGCAGTGCACAACACGCGTGCGTTACGCAAGCTTCACCAGGGCAGCAAAAACAGCGGGATCTGCAAGCAGAACCCTTACATCCTCTCGAGTCTGTGATAGCCATGCCATCTTTCCCAAACTCCTACGATATCTTTGATATGCCTCAGTACTCAATGGTGGTTCCGGAGGCCCATCAAGTGTCTCTCTCAAGTTAGGCACAACGGGTTTCCCCAGCTTCATCTTCTCCATTCCATAATCACGATAACAGGAATCGAGATACCCTGGTGCAACACCAACCAACAGTTCTTTGGCCCCAGCTTGCCGACGAATCACCCTTCCAACAAATTTCATGGACCCCTCTTGATTTGGAAACAACTGACCCATGACTTTCGTGGGAACTACCACATTCAACTTCTCCCAAATTTTCTTCCCCATGTCAGGTTTGTTTGAGAAGATTAACAAGTCATCCACATAGATGATCATGACCGTACCTGGTGCGGTAAAAACACATGGACTAGTAACATCACATGTCAATCCAAGTGGTTTCACAATTCCCTGCACATACTCCAACCAGTCAAGAGAAGCGGATCTGATTCCGTTGAGACTTTTACTCAAATCCATGAACAATGGTGAGTTATCTGGCCAACTCATCGACGCCGGAAACCTCACAATCACCTTTCGTTCCTTCCCCAAAGGTGTATGCATGAAGGCTGCCGAACAATCTAGCGTCCATCCATACGCATTGGAATACCCACTGATGGCAAGTGCCATTTTGATAGACTCTGAACTGGGTGTTGGCGACGAAATACCAAGGCTCTTGGCCTTGCCCCCACCAGAAGCGATGTCTTTGACCACTATACGGGCTCGTACGCCATCTTCTCCATCAATCACCTTCTCCGTTGTGACCCAACGGCATGGTATGATGCGAACACCATACTCATCCGCCTTTGCAGTGGCTTCGGACTGCCTAAGTGGTTTCCCTGCACTAACCCTGTCCAGATTCTTGACTTCAGTCAACATCCCTGAAAAAGTAAGGTTACCATCTAGGGTATTTGACGTCGAATCATCAACCGCATAGTCTGGTTTCCAAACCTTTATTGAGGATCCACAGAACGACACTGTCTCTGACTTAGAACCGCCTTGGTAAACAACCGACTGCAACGACTGGTCTTCGAAGAACATGTCAGCCCCGGTGAATCCCTCTGAAAGTTGCATGATCCCATGAACCCTGCTACAATCATCGGTAACACAGACACCAACACTGTCCAACATGTCCCCATCGTTTTCAAGAGGTCGTTTCCTAGACTCCCCAACATCCAAGGATTCAGGTTCTGGTTCAAGCTGTTCATCAGCTACACGTTTCGTTCCACGAGTTGAAACGTGGGAGCCATCAGCTATCTGTGCATCTTCAACATTCTGAGGACTCGAGAACCGAGCCTCTTCTTTCTCATGGATGCTAGGAGCAATGCTCGGAGCATAGCTATCATCACTGGCTTCCCCCGATCGTTCCAACGGACGTTTAACACCCCCACCAAAGGAGCCCTGGGCTACATCAACATTGACATCATTCCCAACACCCCCTTTTGAGGTATCAACCATCACACTGGGATCAGAGGTACCAACCTTCATGGAATCACCCACATCAGCTGGGCTACCTTTCAACAGCTTTTCAAACTGATCAATACATTCACTAGAATGAGTTAACCCATCAGGATTCACACCTAATTCCAATGCACCGCATGCCGGACAACCAGGTGTATACCCAGATTGATCAAACCATTCATTGGGGGGCACTTTAACTACCGCTGCTCTCTCTCTCTCTCAGCCGCTTCGGCCGCCTCTTGTCTCTGAGTTCGCAACCACCGAACGTAGTTTGCACAACAGCTGGCACTGTGTACCTTTCCCTTTCTCGATTGACCAAGTTCCAAGCATCTGCACGCTGCGCATTCCTTCGTGTACATTTCATACTGTTTAAACCACTCCTGAGGTGGCCCGCCTTTTGGACACACTGGTTCTTCAGTTGGTGGACTGTCAGACAGTCTCACCTTTTGAAATTCAACAGCGTCCGCCGGGGCAGAGTCTCCTACTGGTTTATGCTGGGATGCACCCTCAACACAAAACCCTTTCAGCAGTGACCTTTCCCACCTCATTGGTAAAACAAGTTTGATACTCTTTGGGTGGATTTTTCGAAGAACACCATCAAGCATCACAAGGCAGAGTCCTGACTTACTGTTGAATTCTGGACGCAAGTATGCCCCCTCCAAGAACCTAGGTCGGTCATCGGCCTGAGCCGATTGAGGTAACTCACAAAGCACAACTGACCCAAACATGGACGTGATTGGCCGAGTGGACACGCTTGGATTCTTTCCCGAAAGGAATTCATGTGGCGTCTTTGAACTCCCATGGATTGATGCATGACTGTTTAACATGAAACAAACATACTCCAAGACTGCTCCTACAGCTGTTTCAGTATCACAGATCGCAAGCCCCTGCATTCGCAATTCTTCTGACACGCAAACAAAATTCTCTTTGATTGCCCTCACAGTCATCGCCTGTCCCTGTGGTGGCGCTTTGGAAATTCTGACATCCTTACCTACTTGCAGTCTAGAAAACACGTTTCCTACTGCCTCTTCATCATCAGTACTGACAACAAGGACACCATGACTGTCTCCTAAGCAACCCATCTCTCCTAACCATCTTTGAACAGAAGCTCGAATATGGTCAGTGTTAGGACCCATGTGAACAACACCCACCATGCCAGAAAATCGTTCGCAAATGATCAAAAATTTGAACGTTTTTAAATGGAAAAAATCAGCAGCTAGCTCAACAATGTTAGTGCCGTCTTGTTTCCGTCTGTGTTGAGAAACCCCTTTCGTTCTCTGACAGATTGCGCAGTTTGGGTCAAAAGGAATATGTCCCCTAGCCCTATGCATTTCATCCATGTCACTCTGAATGACTGCTTTCTTATAGACTGGGTTGATATTCACTTCAAGTACCGAAATCGAAGATTCCCCAGCTCCTGACAGATTTTCGCACGACACCTCAATTGTCCCAGCAACTGGACGACCAGAACCTTTCCTGGACCCAAGGTACAACCATGGACACCCTGCCCACGACATCAAATCGGCTGAAAGACCCATGCCCTCATGAATCAATTGAGATCTCTTTCCAAGATTGACATTCCATCCACGTTCAACCAACTGCGTAGTACTCAGGATGTTGTTACTAGTGTTTCCTACCAGTGCAGACAACTTGATTTCCCTTTCAACCTTTTCTCCAACATGATTAATCATGCTAAGGTAGGTCTGAACCACGACTTTCTTCTTCATGGACACTTCAGTCCCATTCGCTGCAAAAAACCGTGGACCATCTCTCACAATTTCTTCTGAAAGAATCCGAAATGAACCATTTTTCAATGCAGATTCCGACAAAACAGTGACGCTGGCACCTGAGTCAATCAACCACCAGTTATCCTGTCCTCTAGTCTCCAAAGATGACAGCAGTGGCATACAAATGAGCCCATCGAACCACGACACATCCCCTTTAGGAACATATTTCGATCCAATCAGCCCAAAAGAACCATTTTGGAAAACAACATCTGATGCCCCACCGACACCCTTTGTCGCCTTACCACGACACACCGATGACACATCATGACATGAAAAACCAACATCCTGATCCAATGAACTTTCATGAGTCTTTTCAGACATACAGTCCGACTTAAGATCTGGTCCCAAATCATGCACCTCCGTGCTTTCATCCGCCAAGATCTCATCCCCAGTCGCACACACAATGTCAAAGACACACTGTCCAGAGGTACCGAAAGAACTCAAAAGAGCCATTTGAAGACCTGAACCAGAAGCCTCCTCTTGAGCCTCCCATTCACCAGCCTCTTCATAACCCTCTTCCTGTTCCTCCTCACCCTCACCAAGTTCATACATCTTCCCCTTGCCTTGCCCCTTGCCTTTAGCT